TGCAATTTAACAAATATCTTGTGTAATAGTGACATTTTTAAAGATATAAGCTCATCCCGATGTTACACGCATCGAGACCTTTCATTTGAGTACCCACATCAATTTTTCATATATTTATATATTTATTTATATAAATATATGAAAAATATATAAAAAATTGATGTGGGTACTCAAATGAAAGCTCTTAACGAGCGTAGCATCGGGATGAGCTTATATCTTCAAAATTGTCAATAATTAAGAAAGTACAGTTCAATTTAACAAAAATCATTATTTAATAGAGCAAAATTTCATTTATTAACAGTTCACAAGCCACGGCAGTCACGTAGTGACTGCAAGGTTGCTAGCAGCCTATAATTTGAATTTTATTCAAATATTAATTGTTTCTTAAAATATTTTAGCAAAAAAATAGATGGATTAAAAAACATGTTTGATAAAGAGATTAAAAAAAAAAAAAACAAAGTACTTTTAACAAAAAATAATGTGATCTTGGATTATAATAAATATTAGCACAGATTATTAAATTCGCTGAAAAAAGTGACGCAACACTAAAGCCTGTCAAACATTTGTAATTCCCCAAAATACAGGTAACGTCACTCGGACTTTATCTAATATTGCTTAAAATTGAGCTTACTTATTAGATTAAAAATTGCTTCTTTCGAAAAATAAACGATTATAAATTTAAAAATAAGAAAAGTCAGTCAATAAAATCTCCATTATTTTACACAAAATACATCCGCCATTTTTGTTTCTTGTGTATCAACGGATTAACTTATTAGTAAGTAAAAAAGATAAACAAAGAATAAAAAGTTGATTATACCCTGGTATTTAAGATTTGTTTATCAATTACAGATTATAAAATAAAATTTTTGGTTTATTTGATGAAATATTTTGTCAAGAGAGAATTTATCTTTCCGCGGTCTCAATTCCTTAATAAATAAAAAGGAAAAATATTTGTAAAAATTGAAAAAAACGGGCCAAGGATATTATAGTGAGATCTTTGTAAACTTTGTTTCGAAAAGCGGCGTAATATTTAAAGGTCGCATCGAGCTCGGAAGCTGTTCAAATTGACCAATAAAGCTACGGTTGTAATAAATGAACATAACAGTAACCAAGTCATAAATAAATTTCACGTCGATAGACCTGAAGAATATAATACAGTGTAATATAACCTGAAGCAATAGTTCGGGAGCATAAAAATTTTTTTTTAACAAAATTTCCGATTTATATTTTATTATTTAGTGCTCTAAAATCTAAAGTTATTTTCCATCGTCTTTTCTTATCTTTAACAAATAAAATTCAACAAAAAAACGTTAAAAAATAATCTAGATTTTTATTTAAAATCAGAAATTAAATTAATACTTGATTAAATACTTAAAAACCTGAGTGAGTATTTTTTAACAGCAAGATAAGTCATAATACAACAAAGTTACAACTTAAATAAAACGTCCCAGAATTAGAAACTTGTGTTTAAGACTATACCATGGGTTTAAAAGAATTCCTGCGTTTTAAAATACATAAATAACAGGTACACAAAAGGACGTGCTCCTTATCTGTGAAATCAGATGTTTACCTGTTACATATTATATCACTTTAACACTCAGGAAAGAAAAACAACATTATTTTCCTTAAATATCTCTGCTGGAAACTGACAAATCGCTCTGCCGTCGGACATTAAATTGTGATTATTTCTTCGTAAGAGAGATCAATAGGTTTCAATTTCTTGGATAGGTGATGACATTTTACGGATACTTTTAAACACTCAATTAAAGAAAATTATGATTTTCATTTATTTGTCATTCTAATAATTAATATTAATGGTAGTAACTAATTATTTCAAGTGTAATACTTATTACAGTCATTCTATCAGGAATAACTGATGAAAAATAAATTTAAAAAAAAATATTGTTATTTTTAGAGAAATTATTAATGAAAATTAATTTTAATTAATTTTTTGTTTGAATTAATTTTAATTAATTTTTTGTTTAAAATAATTTGAATCAATCTTTTGTTTAAATTAATTTTTTTTTTAATTCATTTTTTTTGAATTAATTTTTTTAAAATTATTTTTTTTTTTTAATTGTAACTTTCTATAACTTAAATTTGTTGAATAGAAGTTGAAAAAAAAATTGTGAAAATAATAATATAATATTTTTTTAATAATTAAAATTTAAAAACAAATTGAGTAAAAGCAAGTCAGATAGCAAAAATATTTGATTTTTTAAATTAGTGTTTGATAGTTTGAAAATTTACAGCGGTTTTATATAGCAGAGCTAAAATGGAGTCAGATTTTAAACGGCAGGCATAAAATTCATCCCTAGAGAAAAGCGCACGCTTCCATCCAAAGTTGTTGATGGGTCTAAAATTTTCCTGTTTTGACAGATTTAACAGGATTTGAAACTCAATAGGTACTTACAACTCAATAAATAAAATCTATCAAGTGTTGTCAATTTCGGTTCTTCATTTATTTAAGTAGAAAATTTATATTGAATGCAATTCAATTGGTTTTTTTTTTTTTATTATAAATATTTAAAAAATTCAAAAAATGTATACAAAATAAAAATAAGTAGAAATTTTTACTGTTTTTGATGAAGATTTAAAAATTAAAACTGCATGCAAATAATATTAATAACTAAGAATATATTTTTAATAATTTTGTTTTAATTTGCTTCTTTTACTTGCCTTAAAAAAGTTTTTTAAATTTGGAAAAAAACCAATTTTAGAGAGAAAACTTGAGATTTTTCATCCATATTTTTTTTCCCAAATCTAGAAAACTTTTTTTCAGCTAAAAAGGGACTAAGAAAAAATTTTGATTTTTTTCAACTAAGAAATGAAAATGTATAAAATTTTTAACAAATTAATTTTTTATTTCAACATTGCTAAATTTAGAAAAAAAATTTTTTCTTGAATGTTAGAAAATCTTAATTGGTTAAAAAATTTTCCTGCTTAAGAAGAATAAATTCTTCAAAATGATTTTGTTGTTTCAAAATTATTTTTCTTTATACATTCTTTTTACTACAAAGGATTGTAGTTTATTTGTCAAAACAGTTAAAAACAACAAATGACTCACCCCAATTATTAACACGATCAAACTGTCTGCTGAAGCAATAGCAGAAGAATTTTTTCGCCCTCAATAAATAATCCAAAACCATTTTATTCATAAATCCCGGCAATAATAATTGGATGAATGTATGAGTGTATGATAATTACAATGTAACGAACGAGTAAAACAAATTGTCACATGAAATAGGTGGTGAAGAAATGCCCAAAAGGAAATATGAGGACAAATATATATCTATAATATAACTATAACTAAAACTATAGAGTATAGTTTTATATAACTGCAAATGCCAAGTGTGGAGGGTGAAATAGAGACGAGAAGCATTGTAATGGGGTGACAACGAGTCCCGCGAGTACCGTTTTTACACCCCTGCTATGTGTATACAGTAACACCAGTCATACGAATTTACTCACTGCCATCTTACCAATTTCTACTATTTCGCTCACATTCTATTCATATTCTTCATGTTATTCACGCACTTCCGACCATTATCTGCAGTTACTTGCTCAAGTAACTTAATAACTATCGTCTTCTTTGAATTACAGTAAAAATTTGTTCCTCAAATTTAATACAGAAATTTGTATTGATGACTTTTTTTTAAACAAACTTAGTTTTAATTTAACACAATCTGTATGTTACGATAAAGTACACAGAACAAATTTTTTTTCGAAAAAATGAGGAATGTTGCAATGAAAAATTTTAAACAATTAGACGTTCTAATTAGCAAATTGTCTAACTCCATTTTAAAGAATCTTCCATTTGTACGAAAAAAAAATTAGATCAAAATTTATTGTCACTTAATATAATATTGTGGCTTGGATCATTCAAATAATTTATAATTGGTCTTTCGCTATATACATCAAAATATTAAAAAATTACCCTCTAAAAAATAAGGAGAGACCAATTGCTGATTAGACCGTCGAATTTCATTTTTTAGTTGGAAAAATCAAAATTTTTCTTGCAGTAACTATTGCGTTGAAAAAATGTTTTCTTTATTAGAGAAAAAACAATTTTAGATAGACAACTTGCGAATTTTCATCCAAAATTTGGTTTTCAAATCAAAAAAAAATTTTTTTTAACAAGAAAATTACTGTGAAAAAAATTTTTGATTTCAACGTTGCTAAATTTTTTTCAAAAGAAATTTTTTTTTCTCAATTTAATACAGCTCTGTATTAAAAGTAATGCAGCTTTAGATTAATGTAACATTAAAAAAGTATCAATAAAAAATTTTTTTGACGCAATGACAAAATTTGATCGAATTTCTTACTGTAAATTTTTTACGATAAATTATCTAAAATCAATACAAAAAAAATTTTAAATATTGAGGATAAAATTTATTAACATTCATTCATTTGACGCAATAACTCAAAATTTTTTCCTGTACACTTCCAAATTCTTGTAAAGAAAATTCCAAAGATCAAAAATTTTGACAGACTATTTTTTCCCAATAACTAAAAAAAAAGAAACATGAAAATTTTAAAACGTTACAAGTTATAAAATATAAAATAAGTAAAGCAGTAGAATTGCGGGCTCTTTCGTCTCACATATAAAGTTATCGAGGAATGGTGGATTAGCGTGTCTGTCTTTGATCTTGCCGCATCAGTCTTATCTAATCGTCTTCCTCTCCTCACCACTTTACCAACTCTTCTCGGTTTTAAAAATTTTTATATTTTTTTCACTGAGTCCTGTGTCCTTGTAATACAATGTTTATTGTTGCAGGATTACATTAAAATAAGTAAATAAAAATAAATTCATTTTTTTACAAAACAAATTTTCCGATCCACATTTTGAATGAATATTTATATTTTATTTGTCGATTTTTATATCCGTTAAAAATATATTTTTAGATATAATATTCTAATATTCGATGCGTAAACACCTACTCGTATTTCTGTTGATAAAATATATAAACGCATGAATATTAAAAGAATTTGTCAAGCGAATGTGTTCATCTTATAATTGTAAACAAATGCTTATCAAAGAGGGTAATTAACAGTGCTTCGCCGACGTGAGACATGACGCATGATTTCGTGTATCTTGTATATATGATAATATGTTATCATTTTTCAACGTTTTAAAACAATTTTTTTTGTTTTATTGTTATTTTTAGAATTATACACTTTTGTTCTTAAATTTATTTTATTTTAATAATAACAATAATGTATTTTATTATAACTTTATGTATGCGACGGCTAAATGCGCTTTGCATGTTATTGTATGTGAAAATTATTTCATAAATGTTATTAGAAAAAATAAGGCAAATTTTAAATAAATTTTAATTGATAAATTTTAAATTAATAAATTTTAATAAAAATATTAGCTTCAATCTTCAATTCAAAAATTTTATACAATAATAAAAACTGCTATGTGAAATTGATATTAGTTATATCTTGAGTATACTCAAATAATTTTTACCTATCACAAAATTATTCCTTCGTGTTGAATGTAAGATGAAAATTTCATATTTTGCAATAAAAAATTTTTTTTAAATTTAGTAAAAATTAAAAATTAGTAAAAATTTCCGAAACATTTATTTGCACCGATAATTATTGTTTTAACAAAAATTTATGTAGAGAATTATTTTATCCATTCATACACACATTTGATTTGTTATCTGTGCCACAATTAAAGTGTTAATTTTCAAGCCGTCTTGTTAAACTTTTTAATAAATTTAGAAAAAGAAAAATCAAATGACCAATCAAATATCTGAATATTATTCTATTTTTTATATCAAAGGAAGAATGTGATTTTCAACACATTACCTCTCATGAATTCAACATATTTTTCGAGTAATTTAAACAAATTAACACGATCTTTAAACGTTATTGAATTTACATTTCAAAAGATCAAGTTTTTACCTTCAACTCTTAAAGAATTTCCTCAAATAATTGAGATTTCTTTTTTCTTATAAATTTTTTATTCAGAAAGTGTTACTTTTAGGTGTAATATCAAAAGAAGCATTTTTATGTGTTATAAAAAATTTAATCTTTCTTTTTTTTTTTTAAATACTTTTATATAAAAGTATATAAGAAAAAATTTCGTCAAAATTTTTATCTTTCAAAGATTTCCTCGCTATAATTTAAATCTTCTCTTGGAAAATTCTTATCTAAAAAATTCAAATACATTCGTTTTATTTACATGCAATTTAACAAATACTCTCATTATTTTTCGTTGCAATAATATTTATCTTAAATTACATAATCCAAATTTTAGAGTAAATTTTCTTCTTTTATCAATTATTCAAATTTGACTCCAATTTTTTTTATTAATGTTATTATAATGTAAAAAATTTTTTGTTGATAAAAAAATGTAAACACGGAATAAAGAAAAATCGAAAAATTACATTGTAAATAGTAATAAGCGTCGCTTTACATAAAAAAAACTATAAAAATTGCAGTTCAAAATAACTTTTTTATAAGTTCAAATTTTAAATGTTAATTTTCAGACCTTTTAATATAATATTTACATTTTAAAATGTAATTTTTTAAAAATCTGTAATAATTACAATCTGAAGCTGTAATTTTTCCAGTTTTTAATACTGAGTGCTACATTACATTATTTATTTATTTTTATTTTTCTTTTTTCCGTGAATCAATTAATAAAATTGTATTTAGTTGAATAAAAATTAATTCCAAAAATCAGCTTCAAACTACTAAAAATTTAAATTTCATTTTAATTTATAAATTCTTTCAAAAATTAATTTAACTGGATATTATTTTTTTGAACTTATAATTAGGGTAAATGCACCAATTATTGACCGATTAAGGTTTTCTTTTTCTGTACTAAGCTATAAAAAATCTATTAACCTACTAAAAACAATTTGTAATGAATTTTATTAAAGTTAAATACTTAATTAATAATAATTAATAACTATTTATAATAAAAATTAACAAAATTATATTAATTTTGTTATTTGAATCTTGAAATACTAAAATCACCAATTATTGACCGAATAAACCCAATAAATGACCGACCGTTCTCCAATTAATTCACCGCTCAAATAATTATAAGTAATTTTGTAAACTACATATATGTAATTAAAT